AGGGATAAAAAAATCTTTGGATAATATTATTTTCAAGAACTACTAATGTACCATCTAGGAATTGAATATGTAGGTAATTAAAAATAGATAAACATGGAAATATGAAAATATTTACTATATAATCTTTAATAATAGCAGACTATTATTCTACAAATAAGTACTTAACTCACATTTTTTCTTACAGATAACTATTAATTATGTACGAAATAGTTCCTAAAAATTTTAATTATCACAAGGAAATAACCAAAATATCTAGAGAAAATTTATTCTGCATATATTAATTCCTCCACACATATATATTTATAATATTGTAAATTACAAGTATTAATGGTGATGTGCTTAGCTTTAGAAGATATAGATAGAAATAGATAGAAAAAAACCACTGTGTGGTATATTGATTGGCAATTATATGAGGTTCTTCCAATGTTAAGGTATCCGCCTCCCCTAAAATTGTAAATTTTGCCAACAATTGACATTTTTTTTATGGTTTTATTTTATAGACCATCTTATTAGCTTACAAAAATAAAAGTTTATTATTTTCCCTTCAATAGAACAAAAACTATAAGTGTTTTAATAAAAGCAAATTCCATTACTTTAAGCAAGATGTCATACTTTAAAATGCGTTTTACTTAAAAAAATGTGTGTGTTTTTTTTAAATAAATGTTCAAACGGGGACAACAAATGCTCAAAATGTTTTGAAAATAATTATCTAAAATTTTTTGTGAATATTTTGTACAGTATTAGAAGTTTTTTAACATTAAGATTTAACAATCACTGTTTTATTAAAAATTTACAGTCCCTTTTGTGAATATAATCACTATTTTTTTTTTACATTATTTCATATAATAACTAAGATAAAGTGCTCTTGTTTTCTTGAAAACTAAAATATCTCTTATTCTTATGGTCATTTCAAAACTGAAGAGCAAATCCACACATTAAATTTGAAAAATTGAAAATTTGTTCATAAAGTTTTTGTATAAAATAGGCCTCAATAATATGTAACGTTTTCCAAATTTTTATCCATTTCTTTCCATTTTAGTACTATTTTCTTTTCCTCTTCTAAATGTTAGCACATTTTTCTCATAATGTAATAAATAAATTTAAAAACCACGAAAAAATCGGCATATCTGTTTTTTTTTTCAAAAAAAGAGTTGTTGAAAGTAGTCTGATACCTTAATCTCTGAAAATTAGCCTAATGTATTACTTAAAACTTGTAGACATATAAAAAAAATTTCAGAAATTATTTTCAAAATGAAAATAAGAACATTATTAGAAAGAAATGTGAATAAAACTTAGATTAGGTACGTATCTACGTTAATAACAATGCTTAACTTTCATATTATAGTTTTATAGATAAGATTTATTTATAATCAAACAATATAACTTGCTATATATATTCTTATCTTTTTAATATAGAATGTACAGCTGTGGTTCCACAAGCCTGTAAGTAATTAGATTTACGGGCCTGTGATTACATTTATTTTATTTATGCTTTAATATCAAAACAAAACGCGCGATTTATAATACAGAATCTCACTATCATTATTTATTGACAGACGATTAAATTAGTGAAAGAAATAAAGCTTCTATAAATATAATTGATTTTTTTTTTGTCTAAAGAGAAAGTTCATCAGAGACAAAATTTAATTCGAATTTCAATTTGCATATAAAGTTTTTTACAATAGATTGATTTTCTTTTTTTTTTCTTTACTTATTGTCTAAGGCATTATATTATAAATTTTATGTCTTTTGATTTATGATTTATCATTTTAATTATGTTATCATCATTTTAATTATGTTTTTTATTGTTGAACAAATGAAAACTTCTCCAAAAATATTTTTGCTTCACTTGTTGAGGAAATTATTCTTAGTTCTTTCATTTCCGACATGATTTTCTTTCGTTGCCATTCAGAAAAAGCTAGTGTAAAAAAAGACTTGTCGAACAAATAAAAAAAATGTATACAAGAGACGCATCAAGTATTCTTAATTTCCAAACTGATCAATAAGAATCTGGTAACTATAAATAACATAAAAAATCACCATTTTTAAAAATATAAATTCCAATTTCCCCGTCTACGAAATTGATGTAAAAAACTGTCACACACAAATGAGCATTTTAGTTTTTACTACATTTTTTTCATGAATGAGAATTTAATTACATATCACTCAGACTATAACGCAAAAGAAGCAATTCAGATTTTTTTTTCTTATAATAAATTCATATCTCAGTGGATATTTTTTTCCTAAAACGACAACTTTTAAAAAATCTTTCGTTTCGCTGGGATTAAATTTTTGTTTTTTTAGACAGAAAGGTATAAATTCTTTAACTTCTTGTGCAATATAAAAGCTGAAAAAGAAAAAGTTTTATAAATTAAAGAAAGATAAAAGCAACTTTAAAATTTTTATCTTAGGTATCAAAACAATTTTTGTTGTATGGTACATCATTAAATCTTATTTTCATTTTTTATATTGTGCTTTTTGTTTAAATAACACATACGGATTTTTCTGAAGTGTGAACGAAAATTAAGCATCACAGATTCGGGTACATTATGCTCAATAGTTTTTTCTTGGCTCAACATGCTCGTCAATCGTGCTAGGTTCGGCGACGTGAGCTTAGTTTTGAATTGAAAACCTATTAGGCTTTTATTATTTCAAGTAAAAGTTTCATTCAGACATTTCCCATAAAGTTTTATTTTCTTTATTTAAATATAACTGTCATAAACCCACTTCCACTCAACTCTAGGGATTGAAACAGAGAACAAGAGTGCAAGAGAAAATAATTGGCGGAAAAATATTATTCTTATTTAGGAGATCGCTGATAAGAAGAAACAAAACGTGTGGCAAAATTTTTTGATCTAGTAGAAACAGCATTTTAGCACGAAAATGTGCCAAAAGAGTTAAAATATGAAATTTTAATGAAGTTAATTGGCGAGAAATGGGTTATATTAATGATGACAACTAATCGGTGGTTGTGAGGTAGCGTATTCGCCTCGTAAGCATAAGGCTGTGGGTTCGATCCCAGCTGGAGTCGATAGATTTTCTGGAAGCGAAAATCTTAGGCATGCTTGTGTGATATGATCATTTGGAATATAAAAGATCCCTCGACTATCAATTTGACTCTGGCCTCCCGACAAAAATAAATTACGGCAATATTTACTGCCCGACGAGAGTTTGAATTGAATAAAATTTGAATGCCACATTTTGATATTGAGAGCCGCCTCAAGATGGTGCCACCAATGAAATGGCTCCCACTCTTGGGGACTTGTCATGTCTGCAAATGGCTTATCTGCCAAACAGCTGCTCATTTGAAAGAAATGAACACTATCAATGCTCGATTCGCATGGCGCCAATTTTGCTGCGACGATGCTAATACTTATGTATAACATCCTCATAAGTATTGCATTGTTGTAGGTAAATAAAAAAAGTTGTTTTTTATGATCGAACGTATGGGAAGAGAAAGTGTTAAAAGTTTTAAATTAAAATAAATCTTATATTTATATATACTGCTCTCTTTGAGAGAAATCATATAATATACCAATACAGAAAAATTCTTTTTTATTTGAGGATTAAATTCTTAGAGAGTTTATGATTCTTGTTTTCCGTTTCATTAATCCAACCACGTCTTGTATGCATAATAAAATATGACACTGATTACCCTAAATGGACTAAAAACTAGTTGAAGAAAGCTTAAATTGACATTTTGCTGTAATAATACACTTATGTCCAGAATTAAGGTCACAAACATAAACTATTTGCTGTGTTGCCACGAAATCTGTCACAGAGACAAATTACAATGAAAGAAAGAAAATAGCAACATAAAAATATGGAGAAGATCTTAAATGTGAATTAAGATACAAATCATATCAAAAAGTGTAAAATCATGAATCAGAGGTAAAGCATTTACTTTGGGAAAAGTCTGTCAAAAATGGAGTGTGACCATTTTGAACTGTTATTCAATCCTCAGAACGAGCTGTCATACTGTACATGAGGGTGACATAAACAGAAAACTCCCTTGGGAGTCTATTTTTGAAAAACGATTTTTGTAGCAGATCTTTACTTAATGAAAGGAACATGCTTACCAAGTTTCAAATCTGTAATCTAATAAATCAGAGCGAATATTGAGTGTTACCAAGTCATAGCTGGATTTTAAAAGTTTATAGGAATGTTAAAATAAAGTTGATTGAAAATAAATCTATTTAAAAAATTAGATAATTTCATATTCAATTAATACATTTAAATAACTATTTCAGTAATTTGATTTTCAGTAAAATAAAAAAATTAATATATCCACTCCCCATACAAAACGGATATTAATTAAAATTGTTAGCAATTCAGAGCTATTTTCTTAAAAAATATTTTTGTAAGTACAGTTAAACAGATCTGTTCTCTATCAGCATTAGTTATCTTGATGAGTCTAGCCATGATTGGCTCTAACGCCATTGTCACTCACTCCCTTGATAAGTAGTAGGAATGTCGTCGTTCTAGTGCCATGTAGAGGAACCGATGCATGTTAAACCTGCAGTGGCTCTCAAAGTTCTCCCGTTCGAGTGGTCCTCAGAAAAGTGCACTCATACCATCGGATGAGGCCATGATTGAATATGATATTCATGAATATAGTTTAAATGACTTGAAATCGAAGTAGGGCGAATACATCCATATTTTAACAATCACACGAGTTAGAAACGGCAAGAAATGTAACTGTTTTTACTTTCATAACTTTTAAAGCAACATAATTTTTAACGTTATTAGTAATTTTTCAATTCCTACCTTTAGTTCACACTCCTCCTATGTATATATCGTGTACAAATTTTCAATCGTTATTAAAATATTTTTATTCATACACTCAAGTTCAAATACATTTTTTAAAAACTTGTAGTGGATGACACTTGTTATGTTAAAACAGTTTTTTCAAACAGTAATTCATTAATTAAAAAAAATGAACAAATATTAACAAAAATAATAGTCCAACACCATATATAGAAAGGAAAACCGCTGGTTTCGTTTCTGTTGTGCAATGGATATCGCGTTGGACCTCTGATTCAAAGGTCGTGGGTTCGAATCCCATCTGGAAACACCTAATTTCTCAGAATGTGATTTCTTTTTACTATACTATTTTATTGGAATAGTTAAATTTAATGAATGAATAAGTAATAAAAATCACAAATAATAGTCCATATATATAGAAAGGAAAATGAAAAACCGCTTTCAATTTTGCAACTTAATATTGTGATTCTGTCATATGTATATATGCATATTTATAGCAATTGTAACTTTTTAATAAAAAGTTACTCATATAAAATTTTTCTTTGTTGACCTATAAGTAGGAATTTACTTTAAAAAATATTTTCTTATAATACTTATGTTTCTTGTTTCGCATTTCACTGATATGTTTCAACCTGGTGGAGTATCCCCCATCGAAACATATGTACTTTTATCTCATGAATTGTTTTTATATATTTATTTTGATATTTTATCTTCGCTATGAAACTGTGTTCTTGTCATAGTTTTATAAAATATATTTTTTAATTTTTTTAAAATCATAATATATGTTTGTGGGGATTTTTGGTACAAGAGCCATTTCTTGCTATACTACGCCCTTCCCACACCCATTCGTGTGGTGTGGTAGTTTGGAGAAGGGGTGCCAGCACGAATGACATCCTCGTCGCTTGACACAGTATCAGAATATGAGGTCCGTCACCTATATCCTTCATGTTGTTTCATAGTGAGACGATGACAAACTCACTCTCCCTTGATGATGAAGGAAAAATGTACAGATAATTAATTTGTAAGAAAATGTTTAGATAAATTATAAACTGAAATCAAGATCACTATTTGGAGTTTTAATGTCCTGCAAACACACTAAAATAGCTACAATAGAAAATAATTAATTTTATTTAAACATTACTTATGATATTTTGATTATAATTAGTTGATAATGATATTTCAAATATATACAAAAAATAGTTTTACATTACATCATTAATAACTATTTACATGTATTTTTATACAAAATCAATTTACAAATAGACTTTTAAATAAATGACATTACACACAACTATTTATATACATTATATACAGTTACAAAATTAGCATATATTTTTATTACAAAAACAGAAGTACTATACTGTTCCAATTAATTGGGACAAACATTTTTTTCTTGTCTGACTTCGTATGTGATTACCAGTGAAGTCCCAAACCATCTCAAGAGGTATATCTGCCTAGAGGTAGTGTGCAGATCAGCCTTCCACTGTGATATAATGTAGCAATAGTTCAGTTGTGAGCCTTTCAGTGTGGTAGCTGGTGGTTATAATTTTGTGTTCCACGTAACACGTGTTATTTTTGGTTGTTTAGAGATGGATATTACTCCGAGAAAGAGTTTTAAGATCATCGCTCTTAAAATGAACACCCTTCTATGACTGTGAGAGATACAGCTACGGTAGTTGATATGAGCAAATTAAGTGCTTCAAGAATTTTAAGAACATTTCAAGATTTCTGATGATCGTCTCCAAAAAGAATAGGAAAATGAGGACTCAAACGGAAAATAACTCCATTAACTGATAAATTTCTAATAAGAAATAGCAAAATAAATCATAGTAAGAAAAACACAGAACTTCGAAAGCATTTACTGGATTATGGTGCTGAAGTGAGTACCTCAACTGTACATAAAAGGGTTCTGGAAGTTAGCCGTAAGGCATCAAATTCGAGGAAAAAGAAATTTCTAACTCAAAAAACAATGAAAAAATATTTCGCATGGGCCTGGACTATTAACGACTAGAAGGAGGTGATTTTCTGCAATGAAATGCATTTATTTGTACAGGGATACTAATCAAGTGTAGTTAGACGAAATGAAATTGAAACTCTGCTGCCAGATCATATTCAACAAATTGCAAAATACCCTTCTAAGCAGATGTTTGGGTTTTTTTCGCACCAAATGCCTGGAAGCTTAGTTCCTCTTAAATACATAATGAATTCTGTCAGATATATAGAAATATTATGCAGTAGGATTGTTCCATTCATGGAAGCATTTCAATATGGCTCGGCCCCTTGTCTCATTTCGATATTGGTCGCGACTTTAATGCGATAAAATAAAATAAGTGCTTAATTGTCCTGATAAATTAACTAGACATAAATCTTTTTGAGAACTTATGACATATTCTCGAGAATAGTTCAGCTAAGATGAGTGGCACGACGACAAAACAAATGATAAAAAGTGCAAAACAAATGTTATTTCACGATGACGAAGTTAAGAACATGTGCGTTGCACTAGTGGAGTCAATTCCAAAACGAGTTGAAGAGGTTATTTCTGTTACAAGAGGCCATACTTCGTATTAAGGCAGCGCTTCTCAAACTGTGGGGCGCCCTTGGGAGGGGTAATAACCTTAGGAGGGGGAGGGCAATCATCTTAAAAAGCCGAACACAAAAGATTATTTAAAAAAATTATTAATTTATTGAAAGTAAACAATAAAAAAATTATGCACTCTGACATAATAAAAAATAAGAAAACAACTTTTAAACTGATATAATACACTTATAAATGTAACAGCACTGCACAATATATTTTACAACTGATTTAACAAGTTTTATTAATCGTGAAGAACATGTTTTATAATTACCAGAGACCACACGGACTTGTCATATATAAAATTATATGCAAAAATTAACACTTATCTTCATAATTTTTTGTACGGTTTATAATTAATCACTTAACTGCCGATCAATAATTTCGCGATTCGCTCCCTAATGCCACCGCTTTGCACGTTGCACGTGTATGTCGTGTAAGAAAGGGAATAAGTAAAGGAGGAGAAAGGGAATAAGTAAGCAAATCCTCTGAAATAAAGTAAATACTTCGTAAACATTGTCAAGGCCTTTTTTTTCGATTCAAAACCTTTGGAATAATTTTATAGATAGCATTGAACAGAAAAAATCGTATTTTGGAAAGACGTGTATATACGTCCGGAACAATTTACGCACTGGCTGAGAGAAACGTTTATATACGCCGGTGGCACTTAAGAGTTTAAAATCATATTGTAGCTTTAACGTCTAAATATCTTATTATCGAATTCAATGCATTGTTATTGTATGGAAGGGGGGGGGGTGATGAAAATCATGAATGAATATAGGCCGCAAGTGTTGAAAGTTTGAGAAGCACTGTGTATTACGGTATCCAACTACCCTAAAATTGTGAATTTTGCCAAAAATTGACAAATTTTTTTATGATTTTATTTTGTAGACCATCTTATTAGCTTTATAAAAACACCAAGTTTATCATTTTCCGTTAACTAAAATAAAAGCTATCAGTAAAGCAGATAGCCACTAAGCAGATGCCGTTACTTTAAGTAAAAGCAGATGCCATTACTTTAAGCCAGATGTCAAACTTTAAAAAACGCAGTTTACTCGAAATGTGATTTTTTTGAAAATAATCAAACGGGGTCAGCGAGTGCTCAAAAAGTTTTGAAAATAATGAACTGAAATTTTTTGTGTAAGTTCTGTATAATAGTAGAAGTGTTTTAACCTTCAGATTTATCAATCACTGTTTTATTACAAAATTTACAGTCCCTTATGTGAATATAATCGCTGTTTTTTTAATCAATTTCATATAGTAACTGAGATAAAGTGCTCTAGTTTTTGTAAAAATTAAAATATATCTTATCCTGAAGGTCATTTTGACAATGAATAACATAGCAACACATGAGAATGGAAAAATTGAAAATTTGTTCATAAACCTTTGGTGCAGATTGGACCGCGTTTATGTTATTTTTTTGTCAATTTTTACTCATTTTTTTCCATTTTAGTTATAATAATATATTTTTCTCTTCTTAATTGTCGCATATTTTTCTTAAAATGTACTAAATCTACATATCTCCATTTTTTTTTTAAAAAAAGTTGTCACAACCAGTCGGATACCTTAATGAAGAGATTTTTCTGTCTACTTAAGGTATGGAACCATTAAAAGCAAGGAGTTTTTGAAAAAAAAAAATGGTTTTTTTACCATTTGCCCCAATTAATTCGAATATATAGCATTATTATAGATTCAACCCCCAAAAATCAATGAAGGTATAAAAAAGATAATAAAAAAAACTAAATGGTATAAGAGCAAATATATAGTGATTTTCCTTTGGATTCTATTCAATGTTTTAATGCACTGATTGAAGAAACAGTTACGTTTTTTGGAATAACTACGAATAGAAAATGTTTAAAGAAATGAAACTAAGTACATATTTAGTGGGGACGATGTGTATTTATTATACTGCAAAATTATATAATTGTGACTTCGAAGAATTAAAAACTAAAAAATAAAAAAGATGCTCCTTCGATGATTTCCAAACAGCGACAAAAAATTGATGTTCGGGTCAGAATGATACAAACATGTTTACCTTAAAACGATGCGCGTCGACCACAGACACAAATGCAAATTTGCATCTGTCCACCACGCTCTTCACTAAACTATCGTATCCTTGGGTATATTGCCCCACTCCTCTCTCAAGGCGGTTTTGAGCTCTTGCACTGCATGAGAAAGAATGGTTCTTTGTGCAATACGTCTGCCAAAAGCATCCTAAGCCTGTTCAACAGGATTTAGGTCGAGAGAGTAAGCAGACTCTTCCCTACGGAGAATATTTTTAGTTTTCAGTGTGTCCGATACCTCAACACTTCTGTGCGGCCACGCATTATCGTCCATAAACAGAAAGTTTAGATCTACAGCACCCCTAAGAATACGAACATGGTCCAGAAAAATCTCTCTGTAATACTGTTTCGATGTAACACTTCCTCGCTCAAAGATGTCAACCTGTGTTATGTTACACCATCACACCTAGGCCGTACCGATCACATTCACAAGCAAACTTTTGTGCATAACGTGTTCTACGCTCTCTCCACAGTAATTGGTGGCCAGAATCACTTGCCACACTGAACTAATTTTGGTGATCCCAACCAACATGTTCCTTACACAAGCGTAATCTCTCTTGACGATAGTTTGGTTGAAGTGGGATTCAACGAACAGGCTTCCGTGCATACAAATCAATTTGATTTATTCGTCGTGAGATGGTTCTGTCTGAAACATGAGTAGCGATAGCGACT